TCGCAAATTTATCATTGTTGCATTATTCCAACCTTCATAGTAGATGGCTAGGAGTACTGATTGCTGTGAGCAAATTGTCCGCGTTTTAGGAGCATCCGGTGAAATCGGAACGATCAGCTTGTTGACCGCTATTCAGACGACACTTCGTATTGATGTGGGATCCGATAATTGGGGGAGATTCGATGATGGGTGTGAAATTTCTGCGTAGTTCTCGCCGTATGGAGTGATCTTCTTTGTCAACAGACTATGTGTCCACATCATCGCGCCCCCGGCCAGAACGGAAGATGAGCTTGCCAAACAGAAAGGTCTTCGAGCTCGCTTCTTGGTTTCACAAGAATTTCCGTTTGAAGCCTATCGCGCTCGTCTGAGTCTCAAGGAGGTAGCTCGCGTGTACCCGCAATGTGGACAATACCTGTAGTGCTCGGCCCTGGCGAAAGCGCTACAGATGACGAAATGCTCTTTTTGCGATAATTCAAAGATTGTGACATATATAACAACTTCAGGGAGAATGGGCAGGTGCATTGAGCCGGCGGCAATAGTTAAAGTACTCAAACGTCCGTCACGCTGTCAGCAGCTGAGATATCATGTCATACGTTTGTGGTGTTGTATTTATTCGAGCGTGTTTATTTTGATATAATAAATGTTTTATCGCAATACGTAGTTAAACACTCAAATGTGTTATACCGAGAGTCGTGCCACCGATTTTTCATGGCTTATCGAAGCCCTATACGGTCGTGGAGGCGACCGTAAAGGGCTTCGATAAGCCGTGAAAAATCCTCAAAGAGTCTTGGGCGTCGGTTATAATTGCCTGACGCTCCACGATGGAGGGAAGTCAGCTTATGCTGTGGCGCTGAAAGTGCGGTTAAGTGACATCGTCACTGTTCGCTTGTTCGAAAGTTGGTGAGGGAGTGCACGTCCCCTCTGAAGGCTTTCAGTCGTATCATTTCCCCTTGACATTTCCTCAGCTTGGCATATTTAGAACCACTGCAAAAGCCGCCTAATTTTGAATACATATATTCTCGTGTGGTGATAGTCTGCAGTGGGACTGATATTCATGGTATCGAAAATATATTGCGGCAACAAGCCCCTGAATCGAACGTAACGAAAATGTGCTAACGGCTCGACGTGAGCTCTGTTCAGACCTGTATTTGTCGATCATACACTACCTCCTTCCACTGAGCAACACTATACTGCATTTGTGTTTGTCTTCCTATTATTTTTAGATATATATCTTTTGTTTTAACAAACAAGATTCGTCCGACGAGAACAGTTTGACGACTATGCGTATCAATAAACACCACAAGGTTGCTTCGTATATCTACTGGACATCTATGACTGTCGCACTGCTTCGTGGGCGAGGGTCATTGGCGGGTCACGCAGTATCTGGTTCCTGGTGAGACCATCAACTGGTTTTCAGCACTGAGTGTGACGATCTTCATTTCCAACGGCGCCAAGCGCTCCACCGTCACATGAAGCGACGCATTTGTCAGCTCAACGGCTAGGAGACGCTCCGACAGAGCGAGATAGTCCTCAACATGAGGCAGCCGGTGCTCAATGTGCTCCAAGCTCTCTAGGACTTCCGCACAGCGGTATACAACCCCAGCATGACGCTCAGCGGAGTCCCGATTGCGACGGATCACGTCCACAAGAACTCGAAGAGCATCGCGATTCACCGGACGGCGATCGACACAGTCGTCATCGCCCGCAACAAGCTCTTCTTGGCGAGAATGGTGGTGTCCACTATCACGTGGAACGTCTTTTGGGTTGACGTCGCCGACAGGATCAAACTCAGTACCTTGTAAATTGGCGGAGGTACCCCGACTTCGAGAATTCGTGGGAGTTGAGGTGCCACTTCGGTAAGACTGACCAGACGTTGCTGACGCTAATGATTAGAGGAAACATGACGTTCCGCGTCGTAGTACGCCTCGCGCTTCTCGGGAAAAGCCAGGGAGGTTGAAGGGGTAATGAGCCGAGCTCAAGCTATGGCTCTGAGCTTCTGCGGACGCATACTCACCCGTTTGAAAGACCGCGGGAGTATTAAAGAACACTCCATACGTCGCAGGGCGACATTCCGGAGAGAGTCGGCGACTCGCCTTGAGTTGGCAAACTCATACCGAAGATGGCGCTTTAAACGCGAGTCCACCTCCCTATGGCTCAACAGTAAGTTGTGCAGCGAGGAAAGTTTCCGGTACCGCTGCATCCATCGCTCAAAGAGCTCTTCGTCATCTGCAACGGTTTCGTCAGGGGCGAGTATAACAGGAATCGTTTACATTGCGAGTAGAGGAGCTTTTTCTTTTTGAGCAAGAAATCAAGTGCGGTACGTATCCTATGAGACTTCTTGAGGGATCCCGATAGCGTTCTGGGCTGCACTTCCCTTAAAGCCTCCTACGTACTGTCCGGAGTTTCACCGCGTGCAGAGAACGAAGTAGGGCTCTACCCGCGTGCGTTCTCGGAACAAGCGAGGCTGAGTGGCTACCGTGTCCTCGACACAGAGCTTATTGAGAAGACAGATGAAAGAAAGTCCCGGTGATGTTGCGGTGATTTAGGCAGGCGAGCCTCGTTGGAGGCGACAGTTGATTGTGAACTGTAGGTGTTCACAATCTTGATGGGGGGAAAGTGGAACAGGGTTTCACATGCTCGGGTGTGAAGGGTGTGGGTCACACACGATGGTATGATCAGGCCACACTTAAACAACAAGGCAGTATGTGGCTGATACAGCCAGTAATGATTAAGTTAATAAGATTTTACAACAAAGATACAAAAGCCTATAGATTTAGCTGTAGGCGGCTTTGCCGCAAATAAAATCGAGAAATACAGCTTTTCCAGGTGAACGGAAGAGGTTATCAGCCTTGGGTTAAGGTTGTAGTCGTTGTTAGAGATGCGCTTTGCCGTGCAGAGTAGTTGTGCCAAGGAAGCGTTTCGACGATCAGCCGCCAACCGGTAGTAGATATCGTCAATACCGGTGTGAACAGGCTGATTGCGCAAGTTGCAGTTTTGTGGGTAAGCCAAGTATCCAGTGAAGTATTCAGCAAAGAGACTCTCCAAAAACGAATAACAGGTACATAAATGCAGAAAGGAATCCAGTAGAATAGTTAGTAAAATATTCTAAATAGGCTTAGAGGTAGGACAGCGAACTAAGGACTTAAATATATTTTATCTGCATTTTGCCATCTACGGCACAGGTGCCTTTCTTTACTTCAGGTTATGAGCCCAAGCCCAGTCTTCTTTGCCTCGATACCGACCACGCTTTAGTCATGGACGCTGCCTCCGCCACCACTGCCCGTATCAACGAGTTTGATGGTACAAACTTTCACACTTGGAAGTTCAAGGTGCAGATGGTGCTTGAGGAGCAAGGCCTTTGGGTAGTCGTGTGTGGAGAGATCAAGCTGGAACAGTGCGTAACATCGTTGGACCGATCCACGTACAAGCGCAAGTCTCGCAAGGCGATGGCGATCATCTGCCTTGCAATGGAAGATTCTCAGCTACCGTTGGCTCGTTCTGCTAGTGGTGCGCATGATGCTTGGTCACGGCTGAAAGGTCGTTTTGAGAAGAAGAGCCTAGCGATCAAGCTATTTCTTTGTCGTCGATTCCTTACGGTTAAGATGGAAGAAGGAGAAGATGTGCTGGAGCGCATCAGCAAAATCAAAACGCTGGCGGAGCAGCTCGACGCAATAGTCTATCCGGTCAGTGAGGACGACCTGGTCATTACGCTTCACGCCAGTGTCAGCGAGTCGTACGCGTTTCTCATCACAGCATTGGAGTCAAGAGCCGACTCGTTGTCATAGGGGATCGTGACGTATCCGCTGCTACACGAAGAGTTGAAGCGCAAAGAGCAAGGTGGCGGCGTCGATGGAGCCGCACACAACCAAGGTCAAGCGTTTGTATCGACGTAAAGAGGGGGCGGCGCAAGGGACGACAAGTGCCGGTGGAGGGTAACAGAACCTGTCACTAATGCGGTGAACATGGACATTGGACTGCCGAGTGCCCAACTCGGAATTGCGAGAATGCCGAGCGACAATGGCCGCAGCACGCAAACATTGCACAGAATGATGACAATTCTGGCGATTATCTTCTCTCGGCTGGCGACATTGCGTGTATGGTCAAGTCAAATTGCGTGTGGCTGATTGACCCTGGTGCGACACAGCACATGACGTACTCGAAAGAGCACATGAATAATTACAAGAAAATTGCACCAGTCAATGTGCATCTCGCGGACGATGGCGTGGTGCAAGAGATTGGAACGGGCGATATTGTGATGTCGATGATGACACCACGTGGAATGAAAAGGGTTTGTAAGCAGATGCTTGGCATAATTCAAAGCTTTCTCGCAACTTGTTTTCCGTTGGACGTTTTACCAAGGAAGTTGGTCCAGTCATTTTTGAGCGTGATGGATGCTTTGCGGAGGCAAAGGAGGTTACGCTTGAAGCTTGGTGTCCGCGAAGGAAAAGGACTGTTCAAGCTATGTATGAAGCCAATTAATGTGGAAGAAGCCAATGTGACAAGCTCGTTGGGGTGCCATGGAGACAACACGTCGTACTTCGACTTGGACACATTGGCTATTCAGGTCTTGATACCATTGTCAGGAAGAAATATGGCATTGGTATCAGACTTGCATCAGTGAAGCAGTGGGAGCCATGTCATGGTTGCGCTCTTGGCAAACAAACACATGCTATCTTTCTACCTCTCATCGCGCTACAAATTGTTGGAAGTGGTCCATAGTGACGTTTGCGATCTGATGCAGACAGCTACATCTAGCGGCACGCGATTCTTCGTTATGTTCATCGACGAATACTTGCACTTTACCATGGTGTACTTGCTGCGAAAGGAGTCAGGAGTTGCAAGCATGTTTGCTTCTTTTGTCGCATACGCAGAGACTCAGACTGGAAAAGTCGTGAAAGCTATTTGTTATGATTATGGTGAGTATCTGTCTGGCGAACTAGCAAAGTTTTGTCAGCGCCGTGGTATTGTGCAAAAGTTTACGCCGCCATATACGACGCAGCTTAACGTATGGCTGAGCGTATGAACAGGACATTGGTGGAATGTGCGCGTTGTATGATTGAACACGCGAACCTTCCTAAGGCGTATTGGGAGAAGCAGTAATGACTGCTAGCTTCTTGCGCATTCAGTGTCCCACGCGTGGAATTTCCATGGCACAGCCCCCCTATGAAGTGTGAACTGGAAGCAAACCCGTATTGACAAACCTAAAAGTATTTGGTTGTCATGCGTTTGTGACGGTTCCTAAGGAAAAACGCGCTAAGCTTGATGCTTGAGCCGAGCTCTGCCGTTATATTCGGTATTCCAAGCTTGAAAAAGCATACCGATTCGAAAGCATACAGAGTGGTCGTGTGGTAATAAGCCGTGATGAAAAGTTTCTTGAAGACGTCTTCGAGAGTGGAAGTCGCGATTATTGTTGTGATCAAGATAACTTTGAAGACATTGGAAATACAGATGAAGAAACACAAGCAGAAGATCAAGATAAAAACAAGGGTGATTTAGGCACCAAACGACATTCTCGTATGCAGTCGCTTGAAATCACCACAGAGACTCCTAGTTTAAAGTGTTTCGTTCAGTGCGATGGATTCAAAGGCCTCGTTATGTCCGGAAATAAACGGCATCAGCAAAAGAGATCTCATGTGGAGTTGGCGGAGCTTCCCAATGTCAAGCGCTCAAACCAGTTCAACGAGCAGCAAGGACTTGACGAACTGTCAGCTATGACTGACTGCTTTGAAGCTGCTTACGTCATGAGTTCAGTGGGAGAAGTGCCGACCAACTTCAAGGTGACAATGAAATACAGCGACGCTCATGAATGGGCCAAGGCATGTGAATCGGAAAAGGAGTCACTAAACAAGAACAAGACGTGGGATCTAGTGCCGCTTCCAGAAGGACGCAAAGCGATCGGGAACAGATGGGTCTTTTGGGTTAAAGAAAATCAAGACGGAGAGGATGAACGCTACAAAGCGCGTCTGGTGGTCAAAGGATTTGCACATAAGTACGGCATTGGTTACGAGGAAACTTTTGCGCCAGTTGCAAAATTTGCCTCAAGCAAAGTATTGCTTAGCCTCAGTGCCATATATGATCTCACGGTTCATCTGATGAATGTGAAGATGGCTTTTCTAAATGGACTTCTTGAAGAAGACATCTTCCTGGTGCAGCCCGATGGTTATGTTGACATAAGTCATCCCAATGATGTGTGCAAGTTGAAAAAGTCGTTGTATGGGATCAAGCAGTCGCCAACAATGGTGAATCAGATGATTGATGATTTTATGCTGCAACTGGATTTGAAGAAGTGTGAAACGGGTCATTGTGTGTTCACAAAGCGTACGGTTCTAGAAATGATTTTTGTTGCTCTTTACGTTAACTTTCAAGCAAGCAGTAGGCACGGGCTTCAAGGCTATTCTGATGCGGACTGGGCTGGCGATATCGAATCAAGACGAAGCACAAGTGGATACGCATTCATGATGAGCGGTGGTGTTATCAGCTGGCGAAGCAAGAAACAGCGCACGGTGACTTTTTCATCTATTGAAGCCGAATACATAGCGCTCTTAAAAGCAACGCAAGAAGCGAATTTGCTCAAGACGTTTCTTTGGAACGCAATGTACTGGAAACAAGCGATGCAGTCAAATTTTTGAAGACAATCAAGGCTGCATTGCGAACGCGAAGAACCTCGGTTTTCACAAGCGCACAAAGCATTTCGACATTCGTTACCATTTTGTACGTAAGAAGGTTGAAGACGGCCAAGTTGCTCTTGAGTACATCTCGACGTCGGACATGCTGGCGAATATAATGACCAAGGTAGTTCCTGCAAGTCAGTTCTGTACTCTTCGAATTAAGCTCGGCATTCAAGCACCAAGAACAGCCGAGTCGACTAGAGTGTTGTTAAAGATGCGCCTCGTCGTGCAGACTTGTGGTGCCAAGGAAGCGTTTCGACAATATTACCCGTGTGGATAGGCTGATTGCGCAAGTTGCAGTTTGTGGGTAAGCCAAGTATCCTGTGAAGTATCCAGCTTAGAGGCTATCCACAATCGCATAACAGGTACATAATTCCAGAAAAGAATTATTTATTTGGTAGAATATTCTAGTTAGGCTTAGAGATAGCACAGCGAACTAAAGACCTTAAATATGCTTTCTTTGCGTTTTGCCATCTACAGCACAAGTGCCTTCCTTTTCGTCAGTAGTTACCCTTGGAGTAAGCGGATTGCGATCCGCTACACTCGTACTGATTCAAAGTATAGAACGAAGTCACCGATCATAACCAAGCTTCGTCTGAGCGAAAGAGCTACGGTAGCCCCGCTGCACACTTTGTGCAGTCTTATGAAGTCAAAAGTAGTGTGAGTCCCAATTTTGGCCACAGCATAGTGAAGTAGGGTGTGACGGGGCAAGTCGTTACACTTCCGGTCCAATCGCACGAAGTTCACATTACTATTGGTGTAAATGTGAATGTTCGCAATACCAGAATATCAGTTCTTATGAAGATGGTTCTGAAAATAAAGGCAGTTCTATTATATGAAAAGCAAACACATATATTTATTATGGCTTAGCCCTACATATATGCAATCTTACTGTATTAGGCTTACGAACAAACCTCTGCGCGTTTATTAACTGATATTCTGTAAGTAAATGATCTGTTTGTGCAATGTGCACGGCTACCTGCATGTAGTGCGCATGTAAACATTGGTATAGCATGTATGCCGTTGCAGAAGAAAGGACAATAGCCTAACCTCAAGAAGCATTAGATGTCGGCGATGCAGGCTGGTCGTCGGCACCGTTTATTCCGAAAATAAACGGTTTGGTGTGTTTGAAGCGGCGCAAAAATCTTGTGTGCAGCGATAAGAATTCGCTTGCCGCGCACACAATGTCAATAATCTGGGAATCCGTAAAGCGTGACAGACGGTTTTAACGCAGCACTTAGTCTGGTGCATAGAGCGCCATTACTTTAAAGCGTCGTTTATACCGAGCATGGTAAGGATGAAGCACAATTTGCTTTGTAAAAACACTTTTTGGAATTGGCATTTGTACTTTTTTTTAATGTGAAAATTGACGAAAACCCAACTCGTTAAAACTTAGTAGGTTATAGCATGTTTTTGCAAAAAAGATGGATGGGCAGCCTTATAAGAAGATTAGGCGAATTTATATTGGTAACACTGCCGGCACTGACTGTCTCGCTTGTTTGATCTCCCCCTTGATATCTCGCACTCTTCAGCAATAACCCACTTCACGCGTGTCATGGTGTCAGTAGCTTGAACATCCGTGACTGCATTCAGCTCAATTAATCATCTCCTCCTTTGTGTTTAATCATCGCAGGGGAGACAAGAAGCGAAAACCCTCACGTGACTTCCCGGCATACGCACACGTGCCTCTGGGCAAATTGCACCCTAATGGTGTCTCCAAGTAAGTGCTTTAAAATGCTATACAACACAGCACAATTACTGACATAGTGTCAACCCTTGGCCGCAGAGTGCGCGTGGACCTCAATACGATTGCAGCATCCGTGCCACCGATGCGCGACCCGTTTCACATTCTTAATTTTGACGAAAACGACAGCAGTAGCCAATTCAGCGCACACAGTTCTGCTATGTCCGTCGACTCAATCTCGTCCTTTCTGTCAGTTGACGACTCGTTAATGTTGGCAAATGCCAGCCATGAGGACGACAAAGAAGCGAGTAAGTTACCGAAGGAGCAGCGACCTTCGCAGCCAGCGGATGAGAGGGAATATTTTGAGCGAATGTGGTCCGAGAACTTCAAAAACTCGGAGGCGCAAGTTCAGAGTCCGACGGAATACCTTCCAGTAGGTGCCGCTGGTCGTTTAAACCGTATCAAAGGGTACTCCGTTGCACGGGATCTCGTATCACACAAATTGTATGCTGTCTTTCGACTAGAAATTGAGTGCATTGTAAGTGAAAAGCAGTGGACAGTGTACCGGCGTTTCCACGATTTTAAACAGCTTGCACACCGGCTAAGAAACGAATCGGTGCGAATTTCAACTGTCCCGACGCGAACATTCATGCGGTCACTGGACCCGACATTTTTACAAAAACGCCAAGTGGAGCTCGACAGGTGGCTGCGCGAGATTTTGATGCTGATAAGTCTTGAAAGTTGTAGAGTGGATACGGATCGATACGCTGAGTGTTGTGGCAGTCGCGGCGTTCACGCTAGTGTCCGTTTGATCCGTTACTTTCTTACGCATGAGGCTAATGAGCCCCCAGATTTCGAAGACTTTCCGGTTCCTCCGAGTTGTTCTTCTATTTCGTCGAGTGGAAAATCATTCTCGAATTTGGGCTTAGGACGACCGCCATTGTCTAGTACATTTGAGCAAAAGACCGAATTAGAGTCGATATCACATGGAATTGAAACTCTCGGCAGTTCTTGTGGCCGCAGAACCCGTGCTGGATCGGCCGATCAAGCTTCAATTAGCTCACGCACAGGCCGAAGTTGTACCGACTATGGCAAATATGGTTTGTCTTGTGTTAGTAGAGCGCGCGGAGTATCGGCTGACGAGATGCCGAGTGTTCGAAAAGAAAAATCTGCGAAATTGCTATCAAAGGAAGAAGTTTTAGACGACAGAGATTCCCCGTTTGATGCGCTGACAGTGGCGGAGCAGAGGCGAAGTGTCATTTTACAGGATGTGGAAGACGAAACTGAAAATAACGAAAACATTTCAGAACGGCGGAAGGACAAAGTATCGCTGAAGCAATTTGATGTGCTTCGTATGATTGGCAAAGGCTCGTTTGGTAGAGTTTTGCTGGTACGAAAAAAAAATTCGTCTCAATTATTTGCCGTCAAGATTCTAAGTAAACCTGCGATTGTGCAGAAGCAGCAAGTGGAACATACAAGAACCGAGCGTCGGGTTTTGGCTTCAATTACACACCCTTTTGTTGTCTGTTTGCACTATGCATTTCAGACAACGGACAAATTATACTTTGTACTAGATTATTGTCCAGGTGGTGACTTATTTTTCCACTTGAGTCGATGTGGATGTTTTCCTGAAGCAATGGCTAAATTCTATGCTGCCGAAATTGTCTTAGCGCTTATTCATTTACACGAACAAGGCATCGTGTATCGAGATCTGAAACCCGAAAATATTATGCTTGATGTGGATGGTCATGTAAAGCTTGCAGATTTCGGGCTGGCCAAGGAAGGTATAACAAGCGAAGTAGATGGAACTCATACTATGTGTGGTACACCCGAGTACTTGCCACCCGAGATTTTGAACCGTGCTGGCCACGGCACAGCGGTTGACTGGTGGAATTTGGGCATGGTTCTTTACGAAATGTTGACTGGAAGGCCGCCATGGTACACACAGGACCGACAAGAGTTATTTAATCGTCTTCGTTGTGCCGAGCTTGCATTTCCACCGGGATTGACTCCTGAGGCGATGAACATCATCGAAGGCTTTCTGATGCGCGACCCCACTAAGCGTCTGGGGGCAATCGATGTCCGTGAAATTACATACCACCCTTTTTTTGCAGAGATCGACTGGAATTTGTTATATAATCGCCAGGTGCAGCCTCTCTATCGCCCGTGTCAGTATACTGATCCGATAGATGCTGCGAATTTTGAAGAGGAGTTTACAAAGCTACCGCTGGCTCAAATTGATAGTGCGGGGTTAAGTGTCGCAACGAGCGAGTTGCAAGGAAAATGCGGCAACAGTGAAGCTCCTGGGCGAGAGCTGGCTGACAATGTGGTTGCTAATGCCGAGGCAGCAAGAATGGGAGCAAACTTGTCCAATGGCATTGCTAACAGCAATGATGTAAGCTGTGAGCGCAATAGCACGCTTCGGAATTTGTCATATACATTCGCTGGCTTTACGTACGACGGGACGAATTCGTCACTCGCAAAATCAGCCAATTAAGTTGCTCGGCTTTGTTAATCAAGTTAATTCACCAGAATAGTGTAATAGCATGAGGCAGAGGAGTTAAGCGAGAAATTAGGTTATTGGACATGTGTTACCCGTTCAAAACTTGCTCTCAATTGCAAGATGCAGCAAACTTGGCGCATTTCACCGTGTTCTGCATGAGCATCGCAATAGTCATAGGTCCAATGCCACCAGGCACTGGCGTGATTGCGGAGACGCGGTCACTGGCTGCAGCAAAATTGACATCACCTACAATCCTGTATCCCTTCTGATTACTAGTATCATCGACGTAGTTGATCCCGATATCCACAACTACAGCCCCTTTAGCAAGCCAGTCACCCTTCACCAGCTCTGGCTGACCCGTTCCGATAAAGACAATTTCAGCTTGTCGAATCTTGTCAGGCAAATTCTTCGTCTTTGAGTGGCATGTTGTCACTGTAGCATTAGCTGCCAGGAGCATAAGCGACAGCGGTAAACCGACAAGCCGTCCACGGCCGAGGACAGTTACGTCTTTGCCAGCTAGCTCGATGCCATTCCGAGCCAATATCTCAAGACAAGCCGCAGGTGTACAAGGTTCCAATCGTAACTCCTGATTTAGGTTATTTTTTGTCTTCGGTTCTGCAAGTCGAGCAAAGTGGTGCGAGTGCAGTCCATCAACGTCCTTAAAAGGACTAATGGACTCTAGTAGCTCATCTTCGTAAGATTTTAAAGCATCAGGAAGTGGCAGCTGTAATAAAATACCATGTATGGTTTTATTGGTGTTGAACGATTGAATTAAAGCCGAAAGCTCAGTGAATTTGATGGACTCAGCCAACTCGTGCACCTGTGGTGTGACACCAATGCGTATGCAGGCATTCTTTTTAAGACGAATATACGTCTTCGAGTCATGATTAGTACCAACAAGCAGCAACACGAGCGTAGCTTTCAGATTGAGGGTTGAAATGACCTTCTTGAGCTCCGTCTCGATCTCCTTGCTACACTGCCTTCCATCCAGAAGTTTTGCCATTGCATTCATTACCTGGTGTTTGGCAAAATTCTAAGTCATAGGTATTGGATATCGTAGTCACTAATTCGAGGCATTTGCCTTCAAAATCCAGCATTCGAGAAGCATTACCCACGTTATTTTCTTCTTTTTCTGTAGAGCAAAACACAACAACAACACGTTACGAGCTCAAGCGAAGCCTTGAGTAACGACAAGCTCGCAAGCAATTAGATCAAACAGCACCTGAGTTTAAAAACTATCTGCTTTCAAAGTCTTCGAAACCACAGCACAGGCGCAAATTGTACGCCATACGGCCATCATCGCCGATGCTTGGTGTTCACCATTGAAGTAAAAGATGCTGATCATCAAGGCAAGCAAGGTCATCCACCACCATAGTAGTGATAACCTGACCATCATCTTAACTCAAAGGTATTCTATCTTGTTTTCGCTACGAGGGATGAAACAACGAGGTTGCCGTGCACTTTGCAACGGATATGCTTCGGGTCAAAAAGACTGCGTTGACGAATAGATAGTGGTTGAGCTCGTTAGGTCCACCCAGAAGCGGGATAGAGAGCCCTTAAAGTAATCAGGTGCAACGTGCAGCGGGGCTGCCGTAGCTCTTTGCTTAGAGGAAGCTTACTAAGGTCTCCAACCTTACGTTCTTTACAAGAACCAGCAAGAGTGTAGCGGATCGCAGTTCGCCACCTCCAAGAGTACTCAAAATCTCAACCAGGGTCAAGACGCACTTCCGTCCAAAATTAAAACTGTATTTATCTGTTTTTTTTTGCGGCAGAGCCGCCTATATCTAACACCTTAGCTTCTCCTGATTAAACAGTTATACGTAATTAATATGCGTAACTACTGGCAATCCTGCCACGTAGTGGCTTCGTGTTTCAGTGTAGCCACACCATTGTGTGATTACACCAACTTGTGTAATCCACGCTTTTGAGCGGTCACACCATCGTGTATGACCCGCCCTTTCATACAAGGGTATGTGTAACCCCGTTACACAATGGATAAGCTTTGGTTCAAAAATACTGCCTTGACGAATAGACAGTAGTCGAGCCCGTAAGCTCCACCTAGAAGCGGGACAGAGAACCTTTAATGTTATCGAGTATCTGTTGGTGCCGCTATTACAGATCTGACATACGTAGTAGACTATTACTATGCATATGCTTTACCATATTTATTGTAGAGTCATCCAGATCATTTGACTTGCGGCCAGCAGCTAAGGCGTTCGACGAATCTCTCCTTGAGAAATATCATCCTCAGTTTATCGATACTTCGATGATTATAAATTCTTACGGTTTCACCAACGTGCGATGTGATTTCTCGAACAAGTAAATGTGTAGGATGTACGTCCGGATTCGTACAGTTCTTACTCCATTACAGATGCGACAACTGTATCACAATGCGTGATGATGCATAGATCGCATCGATCGTAAACGGTTTCGAGATGAACAGGTGTACGCACAATCTGACAATGTCATACTTTATGGCAAGCAGCCCTTCGTCTTAAATAGAATGTTTCTTTTCGTCTGCTTAATTTGGTGAGACTTAAACGCAATAAAGCGTTCATTACATTTGCAGCGGGGCTGCCGTAGCTTTGCGCTTGAGGACGCGTCTTTAGGTCACCTACCTTTCGTTCTTTCCAATAACCAGGTACTAGTGCAGCGGATCGCAATGCGCTGCCTCTAAAAGTACTAAAAACCCTTAACCAAGGCAAACGCACAGTTCTGTTCAAAATCGAAAAATATTTTTATTTATATTTTTATCCTAATGTTAAAAGTTTAGATTTTCCTAAATATACTAAATATAGTAAATCCAAATACATGCATAACTACTGGCTACCTAGCCCCGTATCGTATTCTAGTTTGAATGTGTGGTCACATTTTGCACATCTCGTGTAACACGCACACACCCCTGTTACCAGGGAACGTGTAACCCCGTTACATCCTCCCCCATTAGGATTGAGAACATTTACAGTTCCAATCGATTTTTGCCTCAACGAGGCTCGCGTGTCCGCTAGACACTGCAACTCATCGAAACGACTTCCGTGCTCAATGAGCCCTCTGCCAATGAT